ATAAGTTTACAATCTAAATATAAAATGATAATTTATATAAAATTACAAAAATTTACATTTAATTTATAAAACTTAAGTTTACATAAATTTTTTTTTACATAACTTTTTAGTAAAATCACATGATATACTCTTTTAAAAAATATATTTTTTTAATATCCAATATTCCATAGGATCATGTAAAGCAAAATTTTATAGTTATCTGATAGTATTTTATATGCAATATCAAATATGAAATTTATTTCATTATTATTTATACAATAAAATTATATTTATATACATTATCAATTCTATAAGCTAATTAATGAAAGAAAGAAAATAGGTGATAAGATTATACTTTGTTAGACTATTAATAAACTATTTATACATGATCATTGAGGCCTCTCAGATATAAAATTTATCTGATAGAAAATGATTACATTATTTTTACTTATTACAGGAAAATGATTGGCTGAATAAGCCACTTTGTGGCTTATTTTCAGCAAATCATTTACCCTCCATAAATAAAAATAATGTTATTCACTCTTTTCCATCAGATAATAATATATTATATTATAAATAAAAAATCTATTTTTTTATTTTCTAATAATTATTATATAGTTTGTATTATTAAAATTATATTTTTAATAAACTATTATTTTTATTAAATAAAATATTGGTTTATATATATATTTTATTTTTAATTATAAAATATATTTATTTTATATGAATTATATGAACTTATAATAACATAAGTTTACAGTCTAAATATAAAATTATAATTTATATAAAGGTTTTTACTTCAAATCACCGGGGGTGATCATCACCGTTAGCCAGAATTATCAATTTTTACCGGCACTATATTTTTTTAATGCTGGTCGATTATAATAATTTCAGTTACCGGTGATCATCACCCCAGTGATAGTTATAAAAATTCTTATATAAAATTACAAAAATTTACATTTAATTTTATAAAACTTAAATTTACATAAGTTTATATATTATAATCTTATAAGATTTAAATTTGCATAGATTTGTATTTAATAGTATAAAATTTATGTAAATTAATACTTTAAAAATTTCCTAAAATTTATTTTACTTATACATTCAAGAAGAACTATAGGAGAAATCATTTCCAAAGATAATGTAATTGAATAACAATTATGAATTGATAAAATATTAAGTTTAAAAGAAATTCCAGTTGATAAACAGTCTTACTGTCTTAGTAATAAAGATATGAAAATAATAAAATGAATAGAAAACAAATAAATTCCAGGAAAATTAACATCATATTTTATCATTTTTACAAAACTAAGTGAACAATTTTAATTTAAATATTTGATTTATTTTTTTTTTACTTTTAAATCACATCACTGGTATTATGTGTTTTCACAAAACCTATGGCCTTAGATTAAGCAAGTAATACTAATTAAAATTACCCAACACCTTCAAAATGATTAGAAAAAAATTTAATTAATAATAGTTAGGCTATTCCAAATTAATTTTTAGTTTAACATCCTCCCCCTCCCTCTATTTTTGATAATTTAAACACATATGTTCACATATGTTTAAAGCACCCCCTCTCTTTTGAAATTGGGTGTACCGAATATTTCCGATTTTACCGAAAACTTCTGAAAATTTTAATATATATCATGTTTGTTTAAATCCCCCCCCCTCCCCCTTCAAATTTTTCAGCCAGAAAGGACGTTAAACTAATTATTAGTTTGGAATGGCCTTACTATTTGCAAAAAAAAAAAATTGAAAAATTAGTGAGTATATGGCACAACATTAAATACTGCACAGTAAATACCATGGTGTTGAACACCGCAAGTATGGACGTAATTTTTGTTAAAATCAGAAGCGTATGTGAAAGTATGATATATTGGTTTTACGTTGAATATAGCAAAACACCATATCTGATCTAAAATATTTAATATAGAGAAATTATTTGAATTATTGAATTAATGTATCCCAAATAATATATGGAAAGAAATTTCCAAAAAAATAAAATTATTTTAAAATAAAAAATTTCATTTTACAATAATAATTTCCTAAACTTCACTCTTCCTCCGCCTTGTAACTTGAAACTCTTGTAACCTGATATTTTGACAATAAATGAGATATCTATATATAGATATCTATTTTTATAATATATCTTAAGAAATCCAACAAACAAGTTTTCTGATTCAAAATGGCAAAAAGGCCAACTTTCAAATCGTGGCTTATTATCACGTGATTTAATGATTTATAATGAATATGGTCTTTCACATGAGAAAATGAAACCTAATAACCCTTAATAACTCATCTCTTTGATTGCGTTTATTTTTGTTTATTAATTGTACGACATATTTAAAGCGTGTTTGCCATATCGTGTATTAAATAGTACGCGTCACGAGAAACAAAGCAATTTTTTTTTATCTTAGATAAAATCAATTTCTTTTTAAAGATATAGATTGGAAGTATTTAAATTGATTGAGTTTCATTTTATTAAAATCACATTCAGTGTAACCAAAGAACTAATTATTTTATTACACAAAAGTACACAAAAAGAATATATAATAAGACACGGGGGGGGGAGGGAATGGGGTATGTAATGTATTAGTAAGAACAAAAAATTTGATTGGCTAAATTACGGGAATGGATTATTTTATTGAAATTTTTCAGGGGAAAAATTAATAACCATTTACAGATAATGTAATAACGTAAGCCGGGAAGTGTCATTTCAAATGAATTTTTTAAGATGATCATTATTACATGTGGTAAATTTAAAAATTGTATTTATGTACACATCAATATCCGCGAAAGATACAGAATTCTATATTGGTTTTCAGAGAAGAAAATGCAAGAATAAATGAATTTCTATTTTGTAAAACATAAAATCGGAGTGATATTTGCGAGTGATATTTCCGACTAAAGATCTTTCTTGTGCATTTAGTTAATGTAGCATTGCATATTTTACATAATATGTGAGTATGTGAGTATGTGAGTATGTGAGTATGTGAATATGTGAGTTAAGAAGAATGAAAGAATAATATCGGAATTACTAAGAATTTCTATTCGCTATGAGTTGCTATCTAAGGTACTATCTACTTATAATAATATGCAGTACAATATATTTATGTGTATATATATATATTATTATTATTATTATTTATTATTATCTATTAATCTATTCACTTTACCCATTTCGATTATATACCAATTATTCTTGTCATGAATCTATGTAAAAACTTATGTATCACATATCACATTTTTTTAAAAAAAAAAAAATTATCGCATGATTAATCGGCCGATTATATACAATAATTGATAAATCCTATTGTTTTTTTCTTTGTTCTTTTTTTTCTACTCTTAAAAAAAATTTCTCCACATTTTTTTTCATGAATGGAATTTTTTGCACATAACTTTCATATTCATGGTACATCGGTTTTATAATTTTATAAATTAATGAAACGTTAAAATCGGTTCAAAAGAAAAATATATACCTAAAAGAGCATAATATTTTTTATGATAATATTATGACTATCATAATATTGATATGCAAAATAGAATTAATATTAAAAAAATCACTAATATTAATTTATCACAAGTAAAAAAAAGGATATTATTGTGATTGAAAAAAATACTAAACCGAAAGTCAAATGGTACATGTGACACCAAAATGCATATCCATTATTTAAAGAACCTTTTTATTTTTTTGATTCTTACGAAATTAATGTGTCATTTATATCAAAAATAGATGATATACAGGCTTACTGATTACCAAAATTATAAAATTTTATAAAAAAACGCGAGTTCTCTGCAGAAATGTTCTTTGTTCCAATTATGAAACTTTAGATCTTAAAAAACATTCTTCGATTAAACTTAAATATAATCATACATTGTTCTAAAGAGTTAAAAGAGGGTAACACAAAAAAAAAACGATTATTCAATTATAATATTATAACTGATTAAAAGATTATTATTTTGTTTCAGAAATATTCTCATATTCACTTTATCTCTCTTCGATTGTAATACATAATAATCCATAATTTAAGTGCGAACGCCTTACTCTTTACTTTTTTCAATATGATTAATCGATATATTTAAAATTTTATACGATAATCATGATAATTTTACCTCGTGTTATTGATGTACAGACAATGTAATTCATGTGATAATTAACTTACATCGAGTGTTTTTGCGCGTAAAATCACGTAAAGTGACACAATAAAACAATCTAATCTCTTCCATAATTATCTACAATGATATCGATAATGTTTACGAAGCTTTTTTTTTTACTTGAAACAAATGGTTTGGTTACAATAAACTTTATATAATCTTTGAGAAATGAAAAAAAAAAGAAATTTGTAAAAAAACAAAAAAATTTTTTTTTTTTTTTTTTTGAATAAATCCTAATAAATTTTTATTTTCAAC